TTTTTTGAAGCAGAGTCTTGCTCAGTCACCAGGCTAGAGTGCAGTGGTGCGATCTTGGCTCACTGCAACCTCCGCCTCCTGGGTTCAGGCAATTCTCCTGCCTCAGCCTTCTGAGTAGCTGAGACTACAGGCACATGCTACCACACCTAGCTAATTTCTCTATTTTTAGTAGAGACAAGATTTCACCATGTTGGCCAGGATGGTCTCGATCTCTTGACCTTATGATCCGCCCACTTCAGTCTCCCAAAGTGCTGGGATTACAGGCGTGAGCCGCCTCTCCCGGCCAGGTTTGAATTCTTACTGTTTTTCTCTCTAGTCCCAGAAAGCTGCCAAAGTGCAGCTCAGAACCTCAGATACTATATCAGCTAGTGATCATTGAGAAAAATGAAACCACCCTCTATTTCTAGCAGAGAAGGATTTACTTGTTATAATCAGACAATTGGTTGTAGAAATATTGGAAGAACTGAAGAAGTGAAAGGGAAAGGAAATATCACCCAGAAATTAAGAAGCCACCTTATCCCCTGGGTTGTAGCCAACCAACCCACATGATTGCCACTGCTCCTGGTACTGCTGTTGAAAGCGACCTACCACTTCTCATCAGAAGCTCAGGAGTTAATCCCATCAATGCTGCAGAAACCAACACGAAAGTTGTTGGAGCCTACAATAAATCACTGTCATAAGTGGAAAAATGGCTTCTTTCTTTCCTCATCCAATCAAGCTAAGACCACAGGGGCAACATTATAGTTCGACAAAGACAGATTGATTAGGCTGTTGCAACAAGGGAAGCACCAGAGGAGGCATGGAGCATCTCACCAAACACCAAGAAAGACAGTGTTATTGCAGAATTTGGGGGGGAAGCATAGAGTTTAGATGAAATTTAAGTGAAGCAGTGTTTGAATAGGTTCAAAGCAAAACAAGTCTGTGTGTAAAGAGTCAATATCATACCTGGACTGCAAAGTGGATCACAGTCCTAGTTCCTTAGAAATGAAAAAGTTAAGATATATGTGGAATGTTGTCTCTAAAACTCAGCATACAGATTGGATATCAAGTTTGCTTCTTTATATCAAAGAGGCTCCAATCCTTCAGGCAAAAGTGAGATGTGTTTCATTCTTACAGATATAATTTCAAACCACAAATTATTATAGGAAAAGGTATTTTCCAATGAGTAAGAAAGCATTCATCATTAAAGAAGACATTATGATACTTTACAATTGCAGCATGGCCTTAGAGAAGTATTGCTTCCCATTAACTTGGCACTTTGGCAGTTTTCTGGAACTAGAGAGAAAAACATTAAGAATCCAGGACCCATCAAAGGCTTTATCTGTGGCTATTGACCTATCCTGCTGAATGTCAGGACAGACTGTCACTTTCTCAATGTGGGTTCATTGTTATATTCTCATTCTTTTCTTCCTCTAGTGTTTCCCATTGCTGGAACCTAACTGGAACTCAGCTGGCAAGAAAGTCTGGGAAAAGTAGTTTTCAGGCTTGTTGGCCCTGAGATATGAAGCAAAGAGATGAAATGGAGCTGAGAGCCAAAAGGAAAAATAACTCACAGAATATGTCTTTTCAAGTTCAGTAAATGCCCTCAAGAACAAAGTAGTCTTGGATGATGAGTTCATCTCTCTAGTTTCTCTTCTCCACCAAGATCTTAGCCCATAGTTCCTGAATACCTTCTTCACTCTTTGACACATAAAAGAAAATGATTTTTAGATTTTCCAGCTACTTATGTTGTTTGAACAGAATGGATATTTTAGCAAAATTACCTACATCACCATTACCCATCCCTTCTACTTTCCGTTCAGTCTTAACACATTTCTATCAAACTAATCTTCCTAAACTCAACTCTGACTATGTCACTTCCCTGGTCAAATATCTCAAATGTTTCTGTGTCTCCTAAAAAAATCTAACTTTTTTACCTGCAATTCATGGACCTCTATGATCCACTTTTGATGTAACTCTTCATTCATAATTATCTTCCTCTACTCTCTCATGGGAATAGGATGAGTCACTTCTACAAGAGACTAGGGTTATCAGGCAGGGTGGCTCTCAGCACTGCAGGAGGCTGAGGCAGGAGAATCACTTGAGTTCAGGATTTCAGGACCAGGCTGGGCAGCATAGCAATACTTCATCTTCACTAAAATTAAAAAATTAGTCGGGTGTGGTGGCATGCTCCTGCAGTCCAAGCTACTAGGGATGCTGATGCAAGAGGATCATTTGAGCCTGGTAGGGTGAGGCTGCAGTGAGCTATGATCACGCCACTGCACTGTGGTCTGGGTGACACAGCTACACCCTGTCTCAAAAAAACAAAAAGAGACTAGGGTCAAGCCATCAGTATAAGACTGCCTTCTTTAAAGGACAGGGACTACAGGCGGACGTTTAAACCAAGCAAGATCAATCGCCGTCCTTCTGTGATTTTCAAATGAACCTGGGAAAGAGTCCCCATTTTCTGCTGTAAGGATCTGAGCCCAGGGTTTCCCATACCTATGGTGTCCTGCATTAAGGAAGCTGGTCTGAGAAAATAAAGTAGTTGGGAAAAGCAGTCTTATGTGCACAGCATTTCAGCTTCCTCTGGGCTATGCAAGAACTGGACTTGGGCATAAAACACTTCCTTACAAAGAGAAAAAAAGTCCTCACAGACTGCACTGGACTTACCACCTTGTATGGGAATGTCTTTGCCTATTTCAGATTCAACGTGTACCCCTTTATTCTGCTTCAGCATGTATGTCTCAACTCGGCCAAACCCCACCATTGTTCTACATAGGGCTATAGTGTATCTGTCCCTGCATGGGGGGTATGGGGTCCTTCCACTGTGTATCTGTTCCTGCAGGGAGTGGATGGAGTTCATCTGCTGTAACATGGGGGAATGTGTGCAGGCCAGCTGCAGGCTCAACAGAGGACCTTAAACATAACACTCTCCATATTGGCTTCTCATCTCCATTATAAATCCTATTTGTGTAGCAACAGCTGCCAAGAGGTGGACTCCACATGTGCAAATGAGAAATGAGACAAGCCACTGTGCAGACAGGAACATTTTGCCTGTAGATGGTCCTTGATGCTGACCTCAATACGTTATGTGAGCTCAGGACACAAGGCGATTTTTATTAGATGGCACTGTTCAATGTCCTTGAATTCAATGAAACCTAAAATATTTTTTTCCAAGCTATGTATCATTTCAGTAAAATTGGATCCATATTATTTTAATTTATGGACAGTTGACCAATTAACAAATTGTATGGTGAGAACAAGTTAATGTCCCCAAGCTTTTCAAACCTTGTATTGAAGCTTTTTTTTTTTTAAAGATATTTTTCTTGGAAGCAAAAATCTTATGATACACACACAAAAAAAAGTAAATAAACACTAGCCCCAAAATCCATAGCTCACAGCTTGGTTCAATGAGCCAAATCCTAGGGGGGCTTAGAGGTGTGTGGTGGGGGAAAGGGTTTGTGACCCAAGAGAACCCACGTTCCTCCCTTTATAAGATTGTAATTCTTCCCTCTCTTTGACTTTCGTATCTCACCTCCAGATCTGTGACATCAAATATTTCACTCAATGTAATTTATAGTTTACAAAGGATTTTTCATCTATCATTTTACTAGATCCTCAGTAAAACCCTATGAAGTCAACATCGCTAGACAGTAATTTTGTTCCCATTAAATAGAAGGGAAGGTGAGGCTCGAAGAAGTTAGATGGCTAACAATTCACAGTGTGATATCTAGCTTTCAAGATAGCACCCCTGACCCCTGCCTCCCACATTATACCAGGATTGGCCTGTGTGACCAACATCGATCAGCAGAAGTAATGCTTTGCTACTTATAAGAAGAGGTTATAAAAAAGCAGTGACTTCAGTCTTGAGATCTCATGCTCATTCTCTCTCTCTCCTCTCTCTCTCTCTCTCTCTCTCCTATGAGAGGCCCATGTTGCAAGGAACTAAAGTCTCCAGTCAACAGCTAGCAAGAAACTAAGACCTGCCAAAAACCGTATGAGTGAGCTTGAAAGTGGATCCTTCAGCCCCAGTCAAGCCTTCTGATGAGTTAAACAGGG